ACTCGTATGGTTAAGGGCTTGCAGGCCAAGCCCTACGAGGAGAGACTAGAGAAACTGAACCTTTTCAGCCTCCGCAAGAGAAGGTTGAGAGGCGACCTTGTGGCTGCCTATAAGTTCATCACAGGGGCACAGAAGGGAATTGGTGAGGTTTTATTCACCAAGGCGCCCCCAGGGGTTACAAGAAATAATGGCCACAAGCTAGCAGAGAGCAGATTTAGATTGGACATTAGGAAGAACTTTTTCACAGTTCGAGTGGCCAAGGTCTGGAACGGGCTCCCAAGGGAGGTGGTGCTCTCCCCTACCCTGGGGGTCTTCAAGAGGAGGTTGGATAAGCATCTAGCTGGGGTCATCTAGACCCAGCACTCTGTCCTGCGTATGCAGGGGGTCGGACTCGATGATCTATTGAGGTCCCTTCCGACCCTAACATCTATGAATCTATGAACACTCATAACTGAAGAGAAAATGCAGTTATTTAACAACCTGAAAATCAGACCCTGAATCAGAGCCTGAATGTCTTCAAGCTGTGTATCAAAATCATGCAACCATTCACCATCCCAGAGGAGCCCAGCACCCAGCTTGCCTGAGTTGCCAGTCCTGCATCCATCAGGTGTGAAGCAAGAACAGTCATTGCTCCTATTTAGAGAACTGTATTTAGAGAGCTCACACCTACTCTGAAATGTGAGTGAAGAAAAATGTTGCTCCTGAGTTTAGCAGCAGCTCCACGAAACCTGGTAAGTTCCACTTGTGAAAAAAAGAAAAAAAAAGGGGGGCGGGAGAAGGTAGGAGTAAAATATTGAGAAAACACTTATTTCATTCATATGTTGTTTACTGAAATAAATACTTCATTATTAGAGTTTCTTAAGCAATTTTTTTTAAAGCTGGCCCCACAAAGTCCCTACTGTTAGGGGCCTATGAATATGCCACATCACCTCAGACCATTGAACCTTCTAGTCTGCTATCTTGCCCCTGGCAGATCCCTTTGCTGAATGCCTCAGAGCCTGCATAGCCAGACTGGTTGTTGGATCGATGAACGCGGGGAGGGCTAATGCAGTGAGTGGGTTATATGTGTGGCTGCTTGGTAGATTCTATAAAGAAGGCTAAAAGGAGATTTTTTTAAAATAATTCTCTCTCTTTTTTTCTTATGCTAGACATTTAGGTCTTGTCTAACCTATTTTGCTGGAAGACTCTATGGGTAGCTGGAGAAGTAGTAGGATTAAGACATCACAATTTCCAAAAGAATGAAAAACAGGCACTTAAGAGAGGAAAGGATTTGCAGTCAGACTTTCTGCTTTCTGTTGGGTTTTTTAACACCTATTTAACTTGAATGTCTAAGCAACATTGGGGGAAAAGACACCCTTTGTTAAAGATTGAGGACATGTTTCTATTCATGTCAGGACTGGGAATGCTGACAACCTACATCTG